TTGCTCGATAATTCTATCCCATATTAAATGTAGATCTTGTTCCTTCTTGAAAAAGAAAGGTCGAGGGTTGGTGAAGCTCCATCAAAAAAAGGGGCAATGTTTATGACCACCATAAACCACAAAAAAGTTATTAAATTTTTATTTTAATTTAATTATTGAAAACAGTTAATAATTAATATTTATTATTTACTAATTAAAAATTAATTTATAAATAAATATTTTAAATATCATAATTAATTATTTAAATAATTATAAATTAATAATATTAAAATTAAACTAGTAATCTTAACAAAAATTATGGGCATAATCTCAACTGAAAAATGAGATAAGTTTTTTTTTTTTTTAATCTTAGTTGTATAATGAGAAACAACCATCTTTCATCCCTTGTCTCACCCCACCTACATATTATGCAATTTAAACTCAGAATCTCTTACTTCTAGTAAAAAGAAATAACCACTTAATTATTTAGACCACTGACAAAAAATAAGATCAGTTTTAGTTTGAGGATCAATAGCTATAAAAAGTAAGTTGAGGCCTAGGGGTCTAATCACGTTACTCCAATTTCAGAGCCCAATGGCCTGTTCCGGTCTACAAAGTTTTATGGGCTTAACCGTAAACCCAAGTCCAACGTTAACTGATTCATTCCTTCTCCCCTTCAACACATCATTCTCCGGCCGAACAATCCGTGTTCCTTGCTAACTATCACGTCTCTGCAGCTTCGGGAACCGTAATTTCGTGCGTGTCTACTCCAAGGATTTCTGTACTTAATTGCACTGAAATCGGTTTTATCAGAGGCAACCAGTAACCAATTCAACTCCAGAGGCTGAAAATATGGGATCCATGAAGGTTGATGGTAAATTGGTAATGCTGACAATGTGGACGGTACCGAGCGTGGCTTCGATGGAGTGTTAAGTAAAATGAATGATGAGCTAATTTTACAATGATGAGAATCAAGTACTCTTTATAGAGGCTATAAATTAATTATGAAGTATTAAAATTAATTAATTTTAAATTTATTTGAACAATTAAAATTATATTATTTAAGTGAACTAATTAAAAAAAATAATATAACCTTAAATAATACTAAGAGTTCAATTTTAAAATTATTCGATCTTATTATAATTAATTAAATTATTCATATGATAACAAAATTTTTTAATTATCTATTCAATATATTTTTTTAAATTATATGGAACATAACCT